GCATGTACACTTCGTTCAGAGTATACACCTAACTATGAATCCAGTAAATGCCTAATACATAAATTATTGCTGCTGTAGATATTTCCGTTTTTGTTGTTGTTGTAATATATATATGCCTGCTTTGCAAATATAAATGTCAGTAAATATCAAGTTCGCTGTGACGTGAATTATTGTTTTTAATTTATTTTTATCTATTAACATTTTAAGAAAATATCAAGAAAGAATTAAATGTGTTTTATAGTGCCAAACTTAACCTTTATTTAATTAATTAAGTTCAACTTTAAACAGATTTAATCAATTTTGTTTACACTTTAAGCTATTATTTCTGTCTGACTTAATTACATTAGAAAGTTATGCTACGAATTTTTAATTTGTCTTCTAGATACCATTATAAAACACTTTTGTAACGACATGTTGCGGTGATATTAAAAATATATGACATTGACAGGACATATAGAGTCCATCACAGAATCAAGTATGCCACCTTTTAGGATCCTAGTTCTTATAGTTATAGTATATGATGTTTCCTTAAAAGCCCTGGTTCTTAGATAACATTTCATCACTGGGTATACATTTGATAGTATTAAGTTTCAGATTTTTTAACTAACACAGTCATTAATTAAAATAATTTAAATAATATAAAATGAATTTTTGTTGTTGTAGTTTCACTACTCTTCGAAAAACCTCTCTAAGACGGTAATGCTATACTTTATAAGCAATAAGAAACACTGCAAAGCAAAATCCTTGATGCTTGAAAAGTTATCTTACGTTGCTTGTTATATGACTGACTTGTTGAAAAGGTTTACGATTTTCCTTTTAACCAAATTGGTGGGAGGGAATAAGATATATATCATTGAGAATTGAGACAGGAAATATAGAAGTTAGACGTTTGAATATAAATAATATTTTCTAAAATTTAGAGAAATTTTAAATTACCCTTATGAAATTAATATATTATATTATATAATATATTATTTTTTTATGTACCCTTTGCTAATTGAGAACTTAAACCAGAGTCACAAACTTTTAACCTAAGCTTAATCTGTCAAAAGCAAATCAAGTTAATTACTTTTTTATAATTTAAAAAAAGTAATTAAAGTTAATACACGACATTTTATATATGAACGCCTAAAATTTTAAAAACTTTTTATTTTTTATATAACAATATGATACATATATATGTATATGAAAATATATATAAAGTTCATAGTTATGCATAAATGAGCGAAAAACAAAATGTGCTACCTTAAGTGTATCAATTACCTTTATTACCCGAGTACACACGTTAATTACTAAGTAAACAATTAATTATCAGCGCAACGATATTCTCGTATTTTGTGGTTAAATGTGGGAAATATACTTTAGAACGTCTATGGAATAAGTTTTGTTAAAAAAATATGAATTTAATGCAATTTTCAGTATTTTAGTATTCTACGTAAGAATATTGTTCAAGCATTATTGTTTTAAATTGTGTATTTTAAATATTTACAAAACGATATAACATTTTGTGATATTTAGAAATTCAGAAAATTGCCTCTGCATAGATAGTAATACTCACATTAGTTTCGTATGAGTGGTTCTATTGATATTAGAGTTATACGGGTGCACTGATAGGAAACTGGGCTACACAATTAATGTTGATTATCAGTTTAAGCAATTAGTTATCAGCGGTGATATTACTAATCTTTCTCATATCTATTAAATGAAAACTCTGTAAATATGATCGCATGTTTTTAATAAAATAACATGATTAAATAATAATAATCATAACATGAGAATAAATCTAATGACTTTAAAATTTTAAGGAAAATAATACATTTATTTAATATATATTTATTTATACTTAAGGATCATTATTTATATTGTGAACCAAATAATAAAAAGACAATACTCTGTTATAAAGTTCATTTGTTTTTTTTAGGATTTCTAAATTTTATTTCCGACGTTAATTTTTAGTATTTTTCTATACGTATTCGCTTTAGTCATCATCAGAAGAATTCCTTATATTCCTACTTTTTTATTGAAAACGATTTTACTGATTTTCAAAAAAATTTCCTTTAAGATCTGTACAGTTTTGTATGCGCTCGAGCCAAACCACAATATATCTCTTTTCCATTTCCTTTACTACTCTTCCATCTTCCTATATAGCTTTTTCTTCTATAAAAATCATTCTGCATATAATTTATACGTGATATACAGGAACAAGAAAGGGTTATCAAGTGTCAAATTAGCGCTGTACGATGGATGACTCATTAATACGATGCTTCCAGCACTCACGTACTAAACGTGCTCACATTCATTAGGATTATATGTTTGATACAAATTATATTATTATTTATAAATTATATACAAATTTATAAATACTTAAAAGATCACCTTGTTTATTCAGTTCTAATACAAATTATACAAATTATACATTGATATGATAGTCTATAGCAATGGTACCAATACGAGAATTAAATTAATATAATAAAAGTAATTTTCAGATAAATGCACTTATATAAATCAAAAATTATAGATA